CCCATAGCCCCCAAGCTCTGCAAAGAGGATGTCTTCTTGGGATCTAGTTTTGGGTGTCATTTCGCAGCATTCAGAACTGATTGTCTTGGTTTTTTTCCATTTCCATTGCTGTGGTCATAAGCCATGTTGTTTTCCTGCTTACCCCATTATTTCCATTCATTCATCCAAGTTTTCCCCGACTTTTCTATCTCCACCTTGTTCATCATTTCCATATGGAGACTTGTGGTCCATTCTTAGGTATAAGCATGGTCCCTACCCCCAACTGAAGTTGAAAATGGAGGTCTGGGCAGGAGTCACACAGAACACACAGGCCAAGGCAGGCTGCCTTGTTGGAAGGCACAACCCAATCAACGCCACGACAGATCCCTCTGAGTCCTTGACATCATGCTCTCCTCAATTGCCTTCCCCTCCCACCCTGGGGCCTAGGAGGCCTGAGGACAGCCTAAGATCAGCCATCCTCTCATTCTTTGGACTTTGGGAGCCAACCAGAGAGAATGTGGAGAGCTGAGGGGTGAAGGGTCTTGTTTGTGGAACAGCCTGGAGGCCAAGGTCCTGGATCAGAGAGTCGGTGGCAAGGAGAGAGGTGTGAGAAGACTGGAAAGGGAGGAGGGTCTGGGTTAGGGAGGGCTCTGAACCCCAAACAGAGCCTTTGGTATTTGCTCCTGGGGGTGATGCTAGGATTTATTGAGTTAAGGGGGTGCCATGGTCAGATCAGGGCTGTGGCAACTGAATGAAAGGAATTGCCCCTTGGCTACAGAATCTCAGAAATATTTGGCTTCTGATCTGCAGCTGCTTAGAGCTTTCTTGGTGATGTACTCCTGGTAGCGAGGGCAGCAGAGACTAGGTGGAAAAAGCACCTAGTCCCTGTAAACACTAATTTTCAATTCTTTTAAAATCAGTATAAAAGACACTTTTGTCCATGGATCCTTGAGAACCTACAAACATAAGGTAGCCAGTTTTTGTTATTATTTGCACAGCTTCACTCTTATTTGGGTGGCCAAAAAGCTCCTACTGTAGATCTACACTCAATATGTTTCTTTCTACATTATTTTATAAACAATCATGAATTCGGCCTGAGGCAGTCTGGACTCATGGAGAGAGGGCCAGCCTTGGAGTCAGGATGACCCAGTTTCAAGTCTCACTGGCCACAAACAATCCTGGCTGTGCATGTCCCTGAGGAAGTCACTTCAGGTCACCCTCCGGGCCATACAATGCAGCAGTGAGTGGCTCACTGGCTTTGGCACAGGAAGCCCTTCATCTGGAGCTTTCTACACTGGTAAAATCATAGGTCCCATTCCCCAATTGATAAATGGTCAAAGTATATGAACAGGCAGTTTTCAGATGAAGAAATTAAAGCTATTTATAGTCATATGAAAAAATGCTCTAAATCACTATTGATTAGAGAAATGCAAATCAAAACAACTCTGAGGCACCACCTATTGTACTGATCCACCACTCTGTTTCTTGGCCAGTACCAAACAGTTTTGATGATTGTTGCTTTATAATACAATTTAAGATCCGGTCTGGCCAGGCCAGGGAAGACTATTTTGGCAGTTGTGTAGAGGACGGATTGGAGGGAGAGCAGCTCAGTGGCTAATATACTGGCCAAGAGATGGCCACAGTCTGAACAAGGGTGATTACTGGCCATATCAGTGAGGAGAAAGAGATGGAGTGAAGATGTTTTGCAGGCAGGATTGGCAGGATTTAGCTATGGATTCAAAAGCTGACAAGGAGGGACGGGAGAAGGTCAAATGAAGCATGGCTGAAACTACAGACCTGGGCACCTGTGGGGCTCGCCCTCCACAAAAATGGAAATTCAGGGTCGGACAGTTTAGGAGGAGGAGAACGGGAAAACAGTTCATTCTGCTTGGGACATAGTGAGTTTGAGATGCAGATGAGTCATCTATGTGGAGATGTCTCATGGGTGACGTCTAAGGCAGCTAGCTGGTTGTGAAGCCAGGCCTGGAGCCAGGAAGACCCAAGTTCAAATCCAGCCTCAGACACTTGCTAGCTGTGAGACCCCGGGCAAGTCACTTAGCCTCTGCTTACTCATAAGTAGGATGATGGTAATGACAGCTCCCACCTCCCAGCTTGTTGTGAGTATCCAAAGGAATATTCGTGAATTGCTTTGCAAGCCTTAAAGCAATCTAAATGTTAGCTATTATTATTGCTTATTATTATTATTATTTGGGCTATAGGATGAGCGCAGGAGAGCCAGATCTGAACATATAAACTTGGGAGTTGTTTGCATAGAGTTGCTCATGGAACCCATGAGAGAAGAGATCACCAAGAACGCCTGACTGTCGAGACAGAAGGTCTTAAGGGGACAACCATTCTTAGGGGCTGAGAGGCGTGGGGATGCAGATGAATACCAAAGGCCAATGAGAAGGAAGGTCAGATGAGGCTGCAGAGCAGTGTCCTGGGGGCCAAGGGAGGCCAATGTCCACAAAACCAAGGAAGGAGGGTGAATGGTATGAGAAACTGCCGTGGCCAACGGGGATGAGGATGGAGAAAAGGCCAGGGGCTTTATGAAGGCCTTTGAGAGAACAGCTGTAGTCAAGCACATGGCTTATGTACTGCAGTGCCAACAAAAGGGTGGCTATTTAAATTTTTTTTTAGACAATTGGGGTTAAGTGACTTGTCCAGAGTCACACAGCTAGTAAGTGTCAAGTGTTTGGTCTGAGACCAGATTTGAACTCAGGTCCTCTTGGCTTCAGGGATGGTGCTCTATCCACTGTGCCACCTAGCTGCCCCCAAGGGTGGTCATTTTCAAAGGAAGTTGGGGGTGGGAGGTGGATAACACTGGGTTGTCAGAAGATACACTTGTGTGAGGAAATCCATGACTTGGAAGAGGGAGGCATGCTGGAGAACTTTGGTGTGGGTGCTACAGAGGCAGCACGGGGTCATGGACAGAGAGCTGGATGTGGTCAAGAAGACTTGAATTCACGTCCTGCCAGCCTCTGCCCATGCTGGCTGTGCGGGCGAGTCACTTGGGCCAGATGAACTATGTCCTCAGGTATGTCCTGAGAGAACTGCTGGGTGGACATTTGGAAAACCAGCAAAATGATGCAGAAAATGATAAGTGGAACACATCAGGTCCTTCGTCCTCAGAAAAACTTACATCTGAGCATGGGCCACAAAACAGAAAGAGAGAGGATCAATTAGTGAGTGAGCAGTCAGTTTAGAGAATAAGTGAGCAACCCTAAAGCAAATAGAAAAGCTTCTTGCACATTAGAGACAATAATATGGGCAGATTGTTACAGTGAACTGAGGAACAGGAAAAAACCAAAGATTCTGGAGAACAGACAAGGAGAAAACCCGGGTCTTGTCAGGCAAGGTTTCTGCACAGGATGCTATCTTGTTACAAGCCAGGGGAGAGGGCGTGTACTTGGAGGGGATAGAAAGAAAAGGAAGAACCATCACAGAGCCAACATGGCTTCAGCAATTGAAGGCCACGCCATGCTAACCTTTCGGATGGGGCCACAAAATTGGCAGAAAATACCTGGCAAACACTTCATGCTTTCCCTGTGAAAAGGATGGAAGAACGTGGCCTGGAGGACCCCTCAGTGAGATGGATTCTGAACAGTCAAATGGCAGTCGTGAGAGGGCAGGCATCAATTGCTCCGAGACAACGTGGACACACATTTCTACCAATGACCCGACAAAGGCACAGCCCACTGCCTTCGCCCATTTACTGGGAGGCAAAGCCAACGGCAGACAGACACCCTGATGGATCTATCAAAGGGAAACTCAACAGGGTCTTCACAGAGACCACCGTCTTTGTGACAGACCTGACTGGAAAGAATCGAGGGTTGCTTGGGTAGCAGGCCTAACAGTCCACAGAATGAGTGAGGTCAGCACCAAGGGGCCCTGAGAACAGCTTCCAGGAACAGGGAGCTGACTTTTGCCCTCATCGATCCCCTCTCAAATGCTGTTTTTGAGGGGAAGCCCCTATTTAGGAAGGTGCTATCAGAGATGGTGAAGAGTCCATGCTTACGCTGTGTAGAGACTGGCTGATGGAACTGGGGAGATTTCATTTGGAGGGCACTTGGGGCATTCGAGAGCAGGCCTCACCCCAAGAAGCCAAAAGCCATCTTCGCTCCCTTCCCAGAGGTCTTCCCGTGGAGGTGGGAAGGCCTCTCTCACAGTGAGGCTCCCTTTAGGGAAAACTGGTCAGCGTCCCGTACCCCTGCTCCCCTCGCCTTTTCTGCACAGTGCCTTCTAGCGCTACGGCCCGCCTGAGCGCTGAGTCCACAAGCCTCACACGGGCAGTCAGCCTTCCATTTTCTCCTCTCCTCATACCCAAGGGCCTTGGGCCAAGCATGAACCCGGCCAAGAACATCCACAAATCTTCAGAAGACTGTTTTTAAAAATTGCTTTATTGAGCTGGTTCAGAACATTGCTTGAGCTGTAGCAGCAACAAGTGGTCCCTCCCCCAGCAGCCCCGACCAGCGCCATCCAACGTTTGCAATCTCGCGATCGACCCAGCTTTGGATGTCACATAATCATGCTGCGGAGACTGGTGCAGACAGAATGTTATTCGGAAGGAATGTCGATGCACTTGTCCAAGTGCTCTTCAGGGTGGCCAGGGCTATGGATGCACATTACTTACTGCATGCTCTCAAAAGAAAAGGACCCTAAAACTCGCTAGAGATTGTACAGCCACCGACACAATGAAATGTCCTCTGGGCTCGTGAGGACCAACACATTAACACCGACAATGCACAAGCGATAAATTACATCTGCCGACAAATTCATCCCAACCAATTGCACACTTGATACATCCAAATGAGAACGTGTGGCTGAGGTTTTCACAGGCCCCCCTGTATGCACTGCAGTGCCAGAAGAAGGGGGAGGGGATACTTTTCCTGAGTTGTGGGAAATTCAGACGCATCCTGCAGGTCCGGCCTTCGGATTGACGTGAAGGGCCCCGCAGAGTCCACTCCCAACAGGCACCCTTGGGGGGCCCTTGACGTGGGGTCAGAATCACGGGATGAGGGTTGGAGAAACATTCTAAAAGCCATTTTATTGTACAAGTCTACAAAGGATACATGTGGTAAAAAAGATCAATGACCTACTGTCCGCTGATTGAACAACCTTGAGACACGGAGCTCATCCCTTTCAAAACGTGGCCTTGGAAAAACTTCACAGTAAATTGTTTAGCATTAAACGCTCCACCTACAGGGGGTGCCGAGTCACGACATACTCATCCACAACTGTAATGCCCAGTGAGGAGGAAGAAAGGGGGGAAAGGTCGAAAAGCAAGAAAATAAACATGCTTTCAGGAATGGTTTTTTCTTTGTGCAAGCGGGAAGGATTTCCCGTGGACGTCATGGTCAGAGGGCCCGAGTCTCCACTTCAATCTTCTCCTCTGTTTGCAGCACGTCAGGGTCGACAGGGGCGACGGGTGGGCGCAAAATAACCTCTGGCCCTCCGCCATAGATGGACTGAAGGAAATTCCACGTTTCTTCAGAAATCTGCCCCGAGTCTGCCCCTGGGGGAGGAGCACACACATAGGTCACAGTGTCTGGCATCGTCTAGCCCTGCCCTGGGCTCTACAGACAGGTGCTAACCTGGGACATCACAGCAACCCTATTCAGCCAGAAAAATGGAGGTGGGGGAGGGCAGGCCTGTCCAACAAATCTAAAACCCACATCTACTTAAAACAGAAAAAAAAATCACAGACACAACACTTTCCACCCGCATTCTGGCCCTGTTCCTGTCCAAAAGTGTCCAATCCCCTACAGAATGGAGATGAAATTGCTTTGTAGTACTTATCATCTATTACTCCTCAGTCCACTCTGAAGAAGGGTTAGAGAACAGAGGCTAACAGAAGCCCAGACCCTTGAAGACAGTGTCCACCCACCTGTCTGTCCATCCAACCTTCCATCCATCTGTCCATCCATCCATTCAACCTTCCACCCAACCCTTCCTCTATCCATCCAATCTTCCACCTGTCCATCCATCCATCCATCCATCCGTCTATCCAACCTCCCACCCAACTTTTCCTCCATCCATCTATCTGTCTATCCAACCTTCCACCCAACCTTTCCTCCATCCATCCAATCTTCTGTCTGTCCATCCATCCCTCCATCCAACCTTCCGTCTGTCCAACCGTCCATCCATCTGTCCGTCCTCCCACCCACCCACCCACCCCATGAGGTATAGCCTATCAGCCTGGGATAAGGGAGCCAAGTGAGAGGTGAGAGGGAGGGATCCACCCCTTCGACCCTCCCATTCTGGAGCAGCCTTTCTCCTTACTAGAATGTCACAGCTCTCCAATAAATGACACCCATAACCCTGACAAAAGCCACATGTGAATACGGAGCCTGACACAGGCAGATATGTGTGCAGTGCTCCACTTACCTTGTTTGAGGACGACGCTACCACCCTTGCTGATGGCAATCTTAGTGTTATCAATGGGACCGGGGGGATCTAGTAGAGCAGAAGGAAAAGGTCAAATGCAATAGTCAGAAGGAACAGGGCAGATTTGTACTAGATGAACTGTAAGCGTGGGGCTGAGGTCAACATGGCCTCCCTTGTGACCTCCCTGGTCACCCCATGCCGCAGTGAGTGCAGGATTGTGGTTGGGGAGCGACGAGTACTGCCGTGTGTTCACGGACCAGCTCTGTGAGCTGCGGGATGGCGGCTCTGAATCCAAGGGTCCAAGAGCCAAAAAGCAGCAGCCTCCCTGTGTCGAGGGTCTGTGTCCCACTATCATGTCACTGGGAACACACCTGGTTCTAAGGCTAAGGAAGCAGGTATCTTACTACTATCATTAATGGGAGCATGGATGGTGGACCCAGGGCTGGCAGGCAAGTCCAGCGTGTGTCAGGGACTAGGGCTCAGAGCTAAGACGGGAGCTGCGTTCTTTCACCTGACTCATGTTCCATGGCTTGAACAGGGGCTACGAAAGCTCAATGTGGGACTGGATAGACACCTGAAACCCCCTGAGAGCTTGGCAGGATTACCTGGCGGGAGACCTTCTGCTAAACTCCAGCGATCGTTATTGCAAAACAAGAAATGAGGGAAGCAAAGGGCCAGGGACAGCCTGAAGGGGGACGGGGCCTTCGTTTAGGATCTAGCCAGCGGTCCCCAAGGGCTTGCCAAAGATACCGGTCAGTTTTAAAATCCTAAATTACTAAAAAAATCAGTCTGCCGGACAAGCACGGACACTAGATAGAGCAGAGAAGAATCCTGGGGATCCCAAATCCCCACTTGGGGAGGCTGGAGGAGCTCGGCTCCTGACTGGACTAACTCTGAACTTCCAGTAAGACCGAGAGTCCTGGAAACCCTCACGTTGGGGGTTTCCTCCTGGCTGGGGGACCCAGACACATCTTGTTGCAGAGGGGCTCTGCCTGCTGCCTGTCCCCGGCACAGTTTCCTTGTCCTTTCCTCAGGACCATCCTGGGCTTCCAGGGTCTTTTCCTGAATCCCCCTTGGGCAGCCATCCTTCAGCATGATCACACTCATGTCCCCCAATTTTCCCAGCCTTTCCCCTGTCGATGGGCACCTGCTCCAGGGAGCTCCTGGTCAAGTTCACATCTGGACAGCTGGGTTACTTTCTGCTTGTCCAGCACTGACAGGCCGGGACTCTGAAAGCTTCAATGACCCAGACTGCCCAGAGGTCCTCTCCAGGGGGTAGGAAAGTTGGACCTTTGGTTTGGGGACTTATTAGTCTGCGGTTTCCCATCTGCCACCTCACAGAGCAGGCTCATGATATTCTGGGATGAGGCCCTCTGGTTCCCAGACTTCTGGATAATGAAGCTCGGAAGACCAAAGGAGATTCTGAGGGAAATCAATGACCCGCCATCTCCCCAGCCACTCACCTCCATCTTTCCCTTTCACAAACCCTTCCCACTCTCTGAACCACTGCATGCTGATGCAGAAAAACGCAGCCGGCGACTCCTCCTCTTGGAAGGCCCGGTTCAGCTGGAAAAGAAGAAACACAGAGGCTCCAGAGGCTGCCCCCCGGCCCCTCCCCCCAAGTCTCTGCCGCCCTCCTGGCCCCTCCAGCCTCTTCCTCCTCCACGTCCCAGCTCTGGTCCTCGGTCTCCTCTCCCTCCCCTCCTGGCCTCTGACCCACGGCACTGCTTGTACCCATCGCCTGGACGCCGGCCACCCTTTCCCAGTCTCGGGGCGCCGCCGAGGCTCTGTCCTGGTCCCCCTTTCCCCCAAATCCTTCTCTCATTCTGACTCCCTTCTGCCATTGAGGGCCTCCATCCCCACCCCTCTGCATCACCCAGATTCACAGCCCTCTGCCTCCCACTCACCCCACAAATCCTATCCATCGCCAAGAATCGCCATTTCTGCCTTTCAACATCTCCCCGGTAGCCCCTCCTCTCCTCGTGCCTAGACCATAGATTGATCGCTGCTGGGAGGTGTCTGCCCGCCTCCAGTCTGTCCCCCACTCGGCAGGTCTAAGCGTCTCTCCCCTCCCCAGCTCTGTTGCTTTGTGATGGTCCAGCCTCTTCCACTCTGAACCCCCTCTTTGGTGGTGAAAAGGCCAGGCTACGCCAGACTTCTCAAGGCCCTAGAATCTCCCTTGGCAATTCACGTAACACTCTGCAAACTGCAAGAGCTGAAGTATCACCAAAAGTCATCCCCCAAAGGCCAGATTAAATCTGGTTCACTATAAGGAGCATTTAGTAAGCTCCTCTGGACGTGCCCTGGGGCCTCCAGGGTGCTGGAAATCTATGTTTCTCAAAGAAGGCCACGGCGCATCCTATCACAGGGTCTTAGAATGAGATGGACAATGCCGCTGAACCACAACCAAGCTGAAGGATACAGGCATGCTTCGCCAACTACATCTAGACGGGAGGTTAGAGGTCTGCCGCGGGATGGCGGCACAGTGCCATGGTAGGCGTGTCCCGAAGGTGGCTCTTCATGAGGGCCTTCCCTTCCCTCTTGTCCAAAGGCCTCCGTGCGCGTGGACAGCAGGATGGGAGGGGAGGCAGTGCCCACATGCACCCCTGGTTTGGCTCCGCTCTCTACACAGGACATGACCCAGCAGGGGATCAGAGGACGGTCTAGTTTAGAACATAAGCTGCTGGATGGCGGCTCTGCGCTCTCTGAGTCGTTTCCTAGTGACAGGATGTGTGTGGAGGAAGCCCCAACTTTATGGCTTTTTCACAGTGATGCAACAGCTCTGATCTCATGGATGGAAAGGCCAATGCAGATGCCAGAGCGGGAAAGGGGGAGTGTGCCGGGGAGGGAGGGTGGTGGCTGGGCGTGGGGGCTGCTGGATGCTGGAAAGGTCAGGGAGGAAGATGTGAAGAAAGTGACCAGCCAGCAGGGCTGGGGCCCCTGTGCTCTCCTCCGCTCATTTCCATGTTTTAGCCTTCCGAGCAAATAGCAACCATTCATCTGCAACTTAACCACAGAATCAGAAAGAGGAAAGATCTTTACCCGCACAAACATTTCCAGCTCCATTTTTCTTCTTTTTTCCACTTTCTCTGCTTCTATCTGGCAGGTGTGACACACGTACAGGTGGTTGACGGCCGGTCCTCCCCCGTACCTGCACCGAGGGACGGGCACCATTAACGCCTATGAAACACCCCCCAACCCCCCTTCGGGCCTAGTGGGGGGATGCCGGCCCCCCAAGGAGCCCCACTGAGGGGTGGGGGTGGGGCCTCTGGCTCACCTCCACCCCACAGTTCTGGTGTCTGCAATGGATTCTCCCTAGGTCTAAAAGTGCCCCCTCTCCCACTAGAGAGCACACGAGGACAGGCTTAAGGCCTGGGCAATTGTCTGAAACCCAAACACCGCTGACGTGGGATGCCACACTAGAGTGACCGGAGGAGGTGGTGTCTGAGACACACGAAAAAGTCAGATTCTCTGCTTCAGGAACTGCCTCGTTTTCATTCTGCATAACGATTTTGATGAAAATTCCCAAAAATATGAAATTAGCTTCAATATGGAAAATATACAAGTAAACATTCCAAAAACAATTGTTCTACTTCGTAAGACAAAAGAGGATGTTGTCTGGTCGCTGTACTGATCTTTCTTTGGGTCTGCTCTGAATCAAGGAACCTAAGCTTGGGCCTGACAGGGGGGCTGAAGAAGACAAGAAGCTGACTTTGTGCTCGCCAGCTCCTCCCCCCCCTCCTTTCTCCCTCTCTCCTTTTCTCTCCTCTCCCACTTTCTCTGCCTTCCCCCCTGGCCCTCACCCCCCTCCCCGCCTGTCCATGGTCAGTCGCCCCTCACTCCTCTCCCTCCATCATCACAGACTAACACTCAGACTACAAGGGGAGGGAGGGTGGGTACCTGCTGTATAAATTGTCCCAGATGTTCTGAGGTAGCATCACCACGAGGTCCTCGATGTAGCCGGCTTTGCGTGGGGGGGACGCCTGGGAGGAAGAGGGATGGAGAAGTCTCGGTCACCGGAAGGCCTGCATGAATGTCGGAGGGTCATCCTGGCAGCCCCGGAAAGGAGGGAAGGGCCTTGACACTCGGGGAGTCTGGGGCGCTTGCTGGGCCTTCTCCGAGGCTCCCAGAGAGCCCCGCCCCAACCTCTCACCTCCGTGAACGCAGAGGAAATCACGATTGGAGATGGGCCCAGGCTCCGCGAAGGTCTTGAACTTGTTCAGCCACTGGCGAGAGACGTAGAACTGCAGGAGACTCGGCTCCATCATGTTCAGCAAGTTGGACACGCGCCGCCGCTCCTTCTGCGCGTCGTCACTGCTCTTCCTGTGAAAGACAGACGCGCTTCTTGACCTCCTGCCTGGACCCTTGGTCTCCTCCTCTGGGGAATGACACACCCTAGCCACAGTCTTTCTTAAGATCTGACTTGCAGCCTCGTTTGTGGGCCACCAGGCGGTGCCAGAGAGCACTGCATGCTGGGCCTGTGTTCAAATGCAACCTCAGACTTGCAGCAGCTGCATATTGCCTGCCTCAGTTTCCTCATCTGTAACAAGAGCACTGACCTCACAGGGTTGTTCTGACATGCTTGGCAAAAATTAAGTGCATGGCAAAGTGCACCAGGCACTCCTGCAAAAGTGCTCTTCACCCGCCCTGCCCTCTGCACCTCCCCCTTTCACCCTTTGGGTGGGCGGGCCCCCCAAAGAAACAAAAGGGAGAGGACCCCCGCTGAGAGAATTCCCAGCAGCCCATGTCAGACCTGGCAGAACCCGAATGTGGCCTAAAGAGGCTGGAGAACTACCCCCTGAGGAGCAGCCAGGACACCCACGGACCCTGGCCAACACGTGTGGGTTCAGAGGGAGGCCTGCCCACTGAAGAGGAGGGGGCGTGGGAGGGAGTGTGCATGTGCTCTGCCCATCAAGTTCAGGAAAGACATGTCTTCCTATGTGCATGCAGCTCATGCAATGCAGGCGTGTACATGCATGCAACACACATGCACTTCACAGCGCACACACATGCATGTGCACATGTACATGTGTACACACATATCCCATAGCCTTTTGTGTGTCTCTCCATCCTGGAGGGGAGACAGAGGCCACTTGCATCAGGCTTCAGCAGCCCCCACTTGACGCCAGACCGTGGAAGAGGCCCGTCCCACCAGGGCTACCTAGGAGCCCACGGGGCCTCTCACACTGGCGGCCCAAGGCCATCGTGTCCTTGGGCCGACCGTCCGCTTTCACCATTGAAGGGCCTTTGGTGACATTTCAGACCCACATCCCACAAACAAAACAGACCAAGAGTGGGAGGGTACCACTGAATGGTGAGGGAAAGGCAGGTGGCGGAGCCAGGTTGGGCCTGGAGTCAGAAGTCCTGAGTTCGAATCCAGCCCCAGACACCAACCCTAGGTAAGTCCCTTCTCCGCTGTCTGCCTCAGTTTCCTCCTCTGTCAAATGGGGGTTGTGCCGCACCTCCCTCCTAAGGCGGCCATGAGGCAGCAAAGCCCTTAGCTCAGGGCCTGGCACACAGCAGGCACTTGATAAATGCTTCAGGCAGTGCACTTTCTCCTTCATTCTTAGCCAGCTTCTCCCTCCCATGGGTGACAGTCGTGGCAGTGTGCCTGTAACTCAGGCCTGGGTGGTTTCCCTGCAGCCGTGGCCCTCAACTGGCTTGCCTACCCTGAGGACACTCAGATGGACACACTAGAGCTGTCTGTAAGGACACGGACCCGACACAGGAGAGCCGCCAGCTTGGCCCACTTCCAGTCTCCCGAACCCCTGCTCCCCACGCCAGGGCAGCCCTCAAGGGCTGGACCCGCTTCCCCCACAATAAGGAGCCCAGCCCAAACGAGGCTCTTGATGGCGGCTGGCCGGGGTCAGCGTGGGCGAGTCTCTCTCCTCGCCCTGGCTGTTGCTTGGGAGGCAGCCACCGTCCACACGCTATGACAGCGTAACCCCCCAAGCTTCTTGGATGAAGCTGCCTTCCCCCTCACTAGGTTTTCTCAGGCCGCCACAAAGTTGTCTGGGAAAGGCGGGCATGTCAGGGACCCCTCCTGAGGGCACCATCTTCTCACCTGTAGAAAAGCACGTAAGCCTCTGCATTCTGCACAGTCGCTTCCGAGACTTCAGTGACGCTCTGGTCATCGAACTCGTACCACAGGGTGTTGAGATTGTTGCGGCAGTAGGCGATGTAGTGTCCGCCTGAAAGGGTCGCAGGAGAAGCAGGTTAGCACGCACAAGCGTGAGAGCGAGTGGGGGCATGTGTGGACACACCCCTCCCTCCACGACCCAGCTCCTTCACGCATCTGCCTGGTCCCTCACGAGGCTCTGAAAGTCAAAAGCAGGCTGCCCATTGGCCCCTCAGACTAGAGCTCCCAGTCTAGCTGGACAGATAACAAAGGCCGGTGAACGGGCGGTGGCGCCTGCTCCCTGCCTGGCATTCACTTGGTGCCCACTGCTAGAATGACCCATGGTGGGCCGGGCGCAGTTGCAGGGCACGGGGGCTCCCTCTCACAGACAGCCGCTGAACACCTGCCGATGCTGGGCAGGGACGTGGGGTATCAGGCGCTTGGCCAGTCAGAGCTCCTCTCTAGGCGGGAAAACACTGGTGGCTACTCGGCCTCCAGTCACTCTCTCTTCCCCCACCCCTTCTCCCTGGGGCTGAAGAAGCCACAGGCCGCTTCCAGGTCTGTGTGTGAACACAGAACAGGTAGGGCATAGGAGCGCCTCAGTTCATCTGCGGGCAGAGGGATAAAGCTGGTCTTGTGCCTGACTAAAGGAGGGAGATGTCCACAGTGAGCCTGCTTTCCATCTGTGGGATGACCGAACGTCTGTACGCTGGAAGGGAGCGTGGCAGTCCTGACCCCACCTTGTCATCACTCCTGCTTTGGTTTTCTCCCCAAACCCCTCCCCTCTGCTTGTAGTGCCCAACGCCTCCCAAGGCTCCCACTCAGATCTCCAGCCGCTCTCCCCGGCACGGCTGCTGCCCCACGCTGGGTACTTCGGGTGCCCTCCTTCCCTTTCCAGGACTGCCTTGCTCTTCCTGACATGTCCCAGGCATTTGGGGCAGGGCCGGGACTCCCTCGACCGCACCCAAGTGTTGGGTCTCCCTCTGTGGTGGGGAGAAGCAGCTCCCGGGGCCAGTGTCCGTGAGATTCTGGAAGCTCCTGCCCCTGACAGACCTGGGACAGAGCAGGGCCAGGAGGTCATGACCCCAGCCCTCTCTACGAGCAGCCAAGAAGGGTTTCAGAAGCACTGGAGACAGGGCTGGTGGGGGGGGCGCGTCTCTGATCACCCCCCAGGACCCGGGCACACCGTCTCAGGGAAGGCCCCCTGGGCATTGTCTCTGCTCCTGGAGACCACCCGATGAAAACGGCTTCCTTCACCCAAAACGAGCAAATTCAGCAGCGACCCTGATGACTCCTCTCAGGTTCTTCTTTCATTTCTGATGGTTCCTGATAACACCGCTAAAACTGGGTATCCATGGGCAGTCACTGCTTTGTTTCCAGTTTGTTGTGAACAAATGTGCCCCAGGGCACTGCACGACCCTTTTTAAAGAAGGTCTCCCCTCCCCCCACCAAGGGGTTGGAACATTGACAAACAACAGCAGAAGGCTAGTTGGAGCAGAGCCCGGCTGCCATTCTATACCACGCCCAGACATGTGCTCACACACCACACGCAGTGAAGCCCTAATGACTAGATTCCCGTTGGCGCCCATCATGCCCTCGTCAAAAACATGGAAGCCAGCTGCAAAGCTGATGTACTCACTGCTCGCGGTTCCGTGGTGACAGATGACTGACAACAGGTCATAGGTCACGATCTGGGTGGGGCTGTCCTTGGCGAGGAAGGGCTGAAGATCAAGGCCCTCAAGAGGAAAAGACACGTGGGTGCTGATTTTGGTGGAAAACATGAGCTCGTGCCTGAACCTCTTCAGGTGGATGCACAAAATCTGCAAGGAAGAAGCCAAGTGCTGCATCACTGTATGGTTCCAGACCCACAGGTGCTAGTCGGGGGGCAAGGGATGGGGTGGGGAGAATCTGCCAGGCAACCACAAGGGCCACAGTGGGCCTGGCAGCCCTCCTGGCACTTCTCTCCCCGCCCCACTGCACGCCCACGGGCACCGCCTGAGGAACCAAGTCAGAAAGGTATCACCCACCTCAGGAAACTTCTGCACCTTACAGAACTTCACGCCGTTTCTCAATCTGAGTAGAGAAGGGGAAAGTGGGTGAGGAAAGGCTACAGCACGGCATGCAGCGAGGTCCAAGGCTTTGCTGTTCAGGTCAGGGGAGGGGGTGGCCTGGAGCCCCGAGGGGGACCCGCCCACCGCGCAATTCGGGTGGCAGGGCTGGACTGGGGGCATCCTCTAACTGCTGGGCTGCCCTACCTCGCCGCCAGGCTCCCGGGGGCTCAGGGCCAAGACTATCTGAGGTCTCTGTTCCTGCAGAGTCACTCAGACTCCTCCCTGGGGCCCCGCACCTGGCCTGGCCCACTTTGCCCTTGAGCTCACACCAAAGCTCCTTGGTCTCCCAAAGGAGACCTACCCACCCGCCTCTAAAGCTAGGGCCTTTTCTGAGGGCAAGAAAGGGCTTCTTCTACTTACTTTCTGCATCTTTCACAACTGTACATGTTGTCACCTGTAGACAGAAAAAGCCTTGAATGTCACTGCAGAAGCCAATCTATTCCATTTGTAACACAGGGTAAATGACAAGTTCTTCCTACATCTCCCGTGCCCTCTTGTGGACAAAGCCTGTGCAGCCACTGAGGCCAGAGCAGAGACAACCTAGGGGAGGCCATGTAGCCCAACAACCCGTCTCGGTCTGTGTGCCGGGAAGAGCCAAAGCCCTCTGCCTGGGGGGCTGGGGGGGTTAGTACCCCTACTGTCTAAATGCCTAGAAACACATCGCCGTGCTGGCCTCGGCTGTTGGGGACAGAGACAGGTGCACGAGGCTCAAATCAGAGGGGTGGGCCACAGAAGGGGACAGCTGACCCAAGTATGAGGGGACCAGGAACGTGTTAGTACTAAGGCTGAGATCTGAGAAACGCTCACAACTTCCCTAAACAAGAGGCTGCTTCGTTTTTCCAAATTTCAGCGAAGCCTTTGGGGTTTAAGTAACCCAGAGCGACAGAAAGGCGCTCCAGTCTCTGCCCGGGCAGAAGCAGCACAGACGGGGCGAGCCTCGGTCAGGCTGGGGCCCCTCCAGGCATGACTCAGCATAGCCTGTTTGATCTAAGTCAGCAAAGCAACCAATGCAAGCTGGACACCGAGGACAAAGAGAAGTCTCTGTGTCCCCCACCTAAAAGGAAAGGATTCGTCTGCCCCCGGGCCAATGCTGCCCACACTGTCTTCCCCATCACGCACCAGAGCGAGTTGCCTTACCTTTGAGCTCATCTCTGGCGAAAAAGGCAGCGAGACAGTCTTGCAAGGTCACTACTGGACCCCAAAACCAGCTAGGGACGCAGGAGACAACAAACCTGAAAAGTCATCACGGAAAAAGAAGGGCCGGCCAGTGTGGTGCTAGTCACGCAGAAACAACAGGGGCCCCGAACAAAGCCTGCGGCCAGCAAGGTCCAGCATACCTGCGTAAGTACTCCATGAGCAGGGCGATCCAGCCTTGGGGCGCGTACGCCTCCCCGCAGGAGCCCGCCTTGACCATGGCGGTGGGGTGACTTGCAGAGTGTAGCCGCGCCAGGTCCTCTTTGCCAGGGATGGGCAGGGACAGGTCCTGGAAGGTCTCGAGCGTCACCGACACCTGCAGCAGCAGAATGTGGCACAGGATCCCACTGGCTTCCCTCACCAGCGAGCTCCCCTGGAGCGAGCCAGGGTGGGGAGTGCCAATGGACTTCCTCCTTGGGGCCAGGCCCTGTGAGATCCCGCATGCAGCCCCATTTCCTAGACACCGGGAGCTGCGGCTCTGCCTGGCCTCTGAGAAGCCCGGTCAGCAGGTGGAGGGGAGCTACCACGCCACACCTGGCCCACTCCAGCAGAGGACAAGCTCTCCAAAGGCAGGCAGAGACTCCAGCACCGAGGAAATCCCTGACTGACCCTGCATGGAGCATCTCGACCATCCTAGCCTAGTGACCAGGCTGGCCTCGGGGTCAGCCGGTCTGAGTTCCAGCAATACATCACTGCCTCAGCCATGGAGGGTGCCAGTCTGGCTGGGTGCTGAGGGCTCCCACCCTGGGACTTCCCTGCGAAGGAGGCCTGGGCACCTGGGCGCAACCCCTCGCTCTCATTGCTGACTATGCAAGCTGAGCGACTTCATGCCCAAACAGCTCACACCTTCTGTGCCACAGCCTGCGTGCTCTTCCTCTCCTCCCCCAAAGGCTGCCATGAAGGCTTTACAGCTCCTCCAGCAGAGCCGTCATCTGCCTAGCTTTGGCTAAGAGTCAGTGCCCATCCTGATGCTCTTTTGGGCTATCCGGTCACTCCAAGAGCCATAGAAAAAGAGCAGCCGCCCTCCATCTTTGGCCAAGGGGGCATCGTGAGCAGAGATAGGGCACACACTAAAACCACGAGTTTTTGTGGTTGTCGTGGCTCATCATGTGACTTTTCCCTAATACCAAACAACCCTCAGGATCAATCACAAATACATTCCTCATCTGCTGCCCTCTCATGTAATGCTTCTCCATCACGCTATTCCCTGCAGTGGCCCACAGTTCTCTTCCTCTGTTTATCCTTACCTGGTTTAGAGATGAGGACTCAGTTTTCCAAAAAGAGATGGACAGAAGGTAATCTTTGTTTTTGAAAGAAGTTTGCATGATACAGAGAACATGTTTTCCATATCTGGATTGGCTTGGAATTCACCTGAACAACCTCTGAGGCTGTAGAATGTAGGATTTTTTGCCATTCCACTCAAATCAGGCTTGTTTTAAAGATTCTGGCTACCATTTTTCTGCTTAAATCTTATTGCCATTAGGTTAACATTTATTTTTAGAATTCAGGTGCTATGCCCTGGGGTTCACGCATGCACGCGCGCGAGCACACATAAACACGCCCCCCCCCATTGTTAGTGGTCCCCTTGAGCACGATATAACTCCACGAACCACCCTCAGCACTTTGTAACTGGGCTTGTACTTTGACTAACATTATGAAAACTTTCTCATTCCTAGAGTCTACACAAGAACAGTAACTTTGAGCCATCTTTTCACTTTAAATTCTCATGTCTTAGCCTTACAAATGTTCCCTAAAGGACATGCTGTTGGATTGGTCCATTCAGTATCACTCTCTCTGGTCAGAGGGGAATTCAATGCACTTCTTCTTTGAGGGGGAAAGTTTTCCTATAAAAATAAGAGGGGTTTCCTTGCTAGGTTTCCTGGGGGCTCAAGCCTGGAGCTGAGAAACTCGGACAATTCTATACATGTGCCCAGCTCCTCTTCCATTTCCTGATGTTACTGAGTAACCAGTCACAAGAGTCAACAATACGGCAGATGGGAAAAGGGACCTGCTGGCTGGGCGAGGAATGTCACTGGCTGCAATGATGAAGGGGGTGGGGTACCCTATGAAAAAAGCACCAAACTTTGAAGACATGGGTGCAAACCTTAGCACTCTCCTCACTCTCTATGGGATGGTGGGAAAGGCACCAACCACCTCTTGGGGCCTCAGGTGACTTGTCTTTAAAAATAAGGGGGTGTCAAAGTGCACAGAGCACTGGGCCAGAGTCAGGAAGACCTGGGTTCAAATCCAGCCCCAGACAGTCACCAGCTTTGTGACCCTGGTCAAGCCATTTAGCCTGCCTCAGTTTCCTCATCTGTAAAATGGGGACAGTAATAGCTCCTGCTTCCTAGGGTTGTTATGAGGCTCAAATGAAATAATAACTGTACAGGTTAGCACAGCACACAGTAGGCACTAGATAAATGTTGGCTGTTATCATTAGGCTGGATGATTTTTAAGGACTCAGGCCAAGTGTAAAAATGAATCCAATTGCGAGAGAGTCAAACACTACCCGCCTCAGCTCAGACAGGGAACTTACAAATTCATAAGTTGTCCATTAAAATATGAATGTCTGACTTAAATGCAGCAACTGGTACTATCAATAGCCCACAATGAGCACCCTTCTTTGCAGAGCTAAACCCCAAACTCCTCTGGGGGAGCAGGAGGAAGCCCACCCTGCAGGGGCCCCTGGAGGTTCCCACCTCTGAGCCACCCACCAGGCCCGACCCCCACTCTAGCCGTGGGGGCTTCCTCTGCCCTGCGGGGACATCTCCCTAGGAGGTCTGTAGGGAGGGAGGGGAGGCAGCCCTCATCTCCTGAGCCACCGCCAGGCCCAACCCACCACCCCTGCTGTGGGGGCATCTCCCTTGGAGATCTGTGGGGGGCATGGGAGGACCACCCCTTCTCTAAGTGGCCACTGGGCCTGACCCCCCCCTTCTTACCACCCCCTGGCAGTGCCAGCCCCGGGCTCCTGGACAGCCCCATCCCATCGATGTTCCTGGAGGAGGGGCCACCCATGGCACTCACCCGGTCACAAGTCAGACACTGCACGGAGCTCACGATCGTCCCATCGAAGATGTCCGAAATGACACTCCGGTATCTCTTCTGCTGCTTTCTCCTCTTGGGAGATGGGGCCGGCAGGGCTAGGGGGCAGAGCAGAGCGGTGACCATCCACGTCAGCACCTCGCACACAACCCACCTCAAACCAAGAGCCTCCTTTTGTGAAAAGGCTGAATTACGGCCGTGGGCACACGGCAGGCACCATCTACGAGAGAGGTGACAAACAGGCTGCCAAAGAAGTGTAGAGACATAGGCTCTGGTCTCTGCTCTGCTACTGGCTCGGTCACGAGGGGGCGCCACTGCACAGAGCATGGGGCCTGGCCTCACCCGCTCACTAGCTGTGAGACTTGGGGCAAGGCCCCAACCAGCTGCCTGCTTCAGTTTCCCCACCTGTAAAATGGGGCTTAACGACAGGGCGGCTCTGAGGATCAGGGTGCACCTGGGACACCTCCCTTCACTCAGCTCTCTGTGTCTGAGTCCCCTCATGACGAGATAGCGCAGACTCTGACAGGGGCTGGATGGACTGGACGGCGGCTGAGGTCATCAGAGAGGTGGCAGGGAATGTGCATTTATTCAGCATTTACTATGTGCCAGGCGCTGGATAAATGCGATCTCGGCGGATGCTCACGCCACCTCCATTTTACAGATGAAGGCACTGAGGCAGACAGAGTGTAAGTGGTCTGCCCAGGGACACACAGCAGATGGGGTCTCCTGATGCCAGGGCCCGCGCTCTGCGCCCCATTGCGCCCCTAGTGGACAGTGTGATGTGCTACAAGTCACATTTCTGCAGACCTTGAATAGGGTGACTTGGCCGATGAAATGTTTACCTCTTTTGTGGCCAGAGACTGCACCTGGCCACAGGGAGCTTGATTTGGGAGGGCTCGCAGACAAGCGTGGATTGCCTCCTTCACTCGATGGGAGATGGTCGTTTGAGTGACCATCAGGGGCATGTTCTGGAAACAGTAAATGCTGGCATTAGAAGCGAATCTCCAGAAAAGGAGGAAGGACTTTGGGGACTGGTCCAGGGAAGAACCACAAGATGACAAGGAGGAAATCGTGACAAAGCCCCTCAGAAAGCAGTCTGCTCTGAAGGTCAGGCAAACCTGGTAGTGGTCACTCACTAAGAGGGCTCAAGTCAAACCTGGCCAATTAATGACTCACTGGGCCATGGGCCAGATGTGTCCTGCCTCCTGCATCCAAGAGAGATATGATGGGGTGGAGGGAGGGGAGGAAGGAGGAAGAAATGGGGGGGAAGGAGGAAGGGGGGAAGAAGGAAGAAAGAGGGGAAGGGGGAGGAGGGGAGGAGGAAGAGAGGGAGATGCCAGGCAGAAAAGGCTCTGAGGACAGCTCCAGCCACGTCTGAGTGCCTGCCGTCAGCACAGGTGTCCAGGCCCGTTCCTGGATGGCATCACACACGTCGTGAAGCATTCCAAGGCCGCTGGGAGGAGGGACGTGACATGAGTGGGTAGCTGAGGGGCCTGTACACCGTGATCTCTTGCTGGGCCCAGGGAGCTGAGTCAAGCAGGCAACAGCACCCGAAGGGGCCAGAGGCTCAGGGGGCACCATGACACACCACACCCAGGTGAGCAAGACCCACAGAAGCCCAGTCCCTGCTCAAAGCTGCTCCAAGGCGAGTCACTGAGCCTAGATCTGGCCAGGGGGCAAGGCTGGAACCTTCTCCAGTGTCTGTTCATGAGCCTTGGTGAGCACAAGGATGCAGATGGACAGGCAAATGCAGAGCTGAAAGCTCACGGGGATAGCTGCCCCAAGGGACGTGGGGGTCCCTGAATCTGCCTACAGACCTCAGATTTCTTGTAACCACACAATGGCTCCCCACTGAACATTCTACCCCCTCCCAAATTCACTCAAAGCGGTAACTCTGCATGCATATATCTCTGTCACTGTACCGTGCTACCCCTGCAGCACCTCCTGCTCCAGCCACCAAGTCACTGCGCCACTCCCTTCATCCCTTCAGGCCTCTCACCTGAAAGCCGGCTGTGAATCTGCACTTTGACGGTTTCCTGGCTGTTTAAAACGTCCACCATCTCTGACAAAGTGTCTACATCTTTCTCCACGTCGTCCTCAGGACTCTTGGGGCTTGCCTTGTTCCACAGAGCTTTTTCTTTCACCACCCCGGGGCTAATGTTGTTCTCATCCTCCTGGATTAACATGGCTGTTTCCATGTGGTCCTCCATCAGACCGCGGGAGCCTGTCTCGTTCTCGGCTTTCTCGCTGCTCCCGCATGACTCACATGACTGGAAGTCCATCTCTGACGGGCTCTTGTCCTCTTCCAGGCTCTCCTCGCCTGTCCCAGGAGTGGCCCCCGTCCTCAGTCTCCATGACCTGCTCTTTGAGCTCCTCATGAAGCAGGTCCATTAAACATCGGAGGAATTCCCTGGGCGTCCTGGACAAAGACAGAAAGACTCAAGTAGAGAGACAGCCTGGTGGAGAGAATGCAGGGTCAGGTTTCGGGGGAACTGGACTTTTCCACTTACTACCTGTAAGTCACTTTAAGCCACCTGCCTCAGTTTCTTCATCTGTAAAATGGAGATCATGCCCCTAGCAGCTTCCCCACCCCAGACTGTTGTGAGGACCCACTGAGCAGACCTCACAGCTCTGTAGAAATGCCCAGCAGCAGCAGCTTCTGTGGGGCCTGCTCTAAAATCTCTGCCCCTGTGTCACAATCTGTAAGCACTAAAGCAAAACGCGGACTTCCACAAAGCCCCACTCTTGTTCCTCATGATGGCCGGGGGGGGGTATCTGGGGCTCCTGATGGCTAATTTAGCTCTGGCTGCCCTGGAGTACAAGGCGCTCCTGGGGCCAGCCTTACTTAATGGTGCCTGATGTAACATCCCTGTCCAAAGAATGGCTGTACTCCAACCATGCTGATACAGTGCCTGGCACATAGTAGGTGCTTAATAAATGCTGACTAACTGAGACCACCACTTATGCAATAAATAAAACCAGAATTTCAAACACTAGAGACAAAGTGGATGCTCCTCAGTGCATCTGGAAGATCTCTGAACACACATGGATGTGTACAGGTTATCACGTGTATTTCTGCCCTATTTTTCCAAAGGGAGAAAAGGTCACTTCTGGAATGATACAGGAAGGTGGGATCGTACACCTCTTCTTGCCTGGAAAAACTGACAGGTTGAAAAATGTCTTAATTAGTCAAGAAACTCCCCCTTGGCTTGGCTCCACGCCCACCCAAGGGGTCTCATGAGCCCTCCATGCTTCTACTGCCCTGTCTTCTGACACTTACTGACTTGGGGGAAAACATCAAGCTGCCTACTAAGCGCCCGTCCACTTGGTCCTGAAGCCTTGGGCTGTTTCTGCTTCAGGACCACTTTGTATACATAACACCCTGGATCTAAACCTCAGTAAACCCAAAGAATTGTTTCAGTGACCTTGAAAACCAAAGGATTAACTGCAGAGACTCACTGTTTACACTCTTTTCCCACGAGAATACTGCCAAGTAGGCTGTTCTAGGAGGAAGTTAGCCCAAGCTTCTCCTATTACCAGATAAAATTCAGTGACAATGGACTTACCTGTTGGGAGTAACCTCGAAATGCTGGGTTGACAGTTTTAATTCCTTGAAACAAATTAGTTGGAACAACAGACCCAGGCCTGGGGAGGGAAGGAAGACATTCAGAAGTGGGAATATGGTGAAGACTGCCAGTTTCTATCTTAGTAATTTATAAAACGGAGAAGTGAAGAAGAACATATAAATTTATAAGAGCTCCCGGGATGTGCCCAACATTGACCCTCATTCTCTCTTTGTCTAAGGCTGAGAAGGCTCCTGGGTGGGTCTTGGATGAAGCAGGGAAATCTCTTCTTGCATAGAACAGGAGGTCTGGGATAACCCTCCTTTAAAAGTCCTTCAAAAGGACTTTAGCCCAGGCCAAACTCCAACCTCTCACACACCAGACCTCCCTAGACACAGACACCAAAGTGTACCTGGGCACCCAACAACCAAGACATCCATCCTGTGCTGGGGCCCCCTAGGACCCACTGTCTCCATGCTAAAAACTGCAGAAGCACCCCCAAACACCACAGAGAATGTTAATTTGTGGTTTTCTGAGTCACTGGCCGCAGGGCAAGGAAGGATGGTCTTGCTCCCTGAGCCTTCTTTTTCCTCACACCACTAGAGAAAAAAAATAAGAACATATACTTTTGAATAGCAAGATGTGAATGGAACCCTATTTCCTATCTGCGAGTGAAACGTGTGACAGGGCTGAAAGGGACGGCCTTTGCTGCCCTGCTTCACGGCGGCCGTCTGTGGCCCTATGGCTGACGCACACAACCTAAGGACTGGTGGCCAGCACTCTTTGCAGGGCTAGGTCACCATGCTGTCTCGGGGCAGTGTCCCTCTGCCACATCCAGGATGATCCTGCAGGCATTAAGCTTTAAGCTCTGCCTGTGACAGTTTCCAGCAGGAAGCAGGTTTCCTTTGGCAAAGACCTTAGAATTGGCCTGCTCTAGCAGAAGATCTTCTCCCCTGGGAGTCGGGCAGTCTGCAGGCCTGCTCAGGCGGAGGGGAGAGAGAGCTCATGGTCATATTCCCTTCTGAAATCACTGCAGACATGGTGTCTGGGGCATTCTCTATATTCATTGCAGTGGAATCAATTTTTTCTTAAACACACTATTAATTTTCATTTTTTTTAGAGTTCCAAATTCTTCTCCCTCCTCCTCCCCAAAATGGCATGCAATCTGATATAGCTTATACACGTGCAATCATGTTAAACATATTTCCACATTAGTCATGTTGTGAAAGAAGAATCAGGATAAAAGGGAAAAAACCATGAGAAAGAAGAAACAAAAGAGAGAGTGCACAAATAATATGCTTCCATCTGCATTCAGACTCCACAGATCTTTCTCTGGATGTGGACAGTATTTTCAATCACGAGTCTTTTGGAGTTGTCTTAGATCCTTGCATTGCTGAGAAGAGCTAAATCAATCATAGTTGATCATTGCACTACTGTGTACAAGGTTCTGCAGTTTCTGCTCACTTCACTCAGCATCAGTTCATGTAAGCCTTTCCAGGTTTTTCTAAAATCTGCCTGCTTGTCATTTCTTGCAGAACAATAGCATTCCATTACATTCATATATAACTCTTTGGGCATAGTTCCAAACTGATCTCCAGAATAGCTGGGTTAGGAGCCAAGATGGCAGAGTTAAAGCAGTGACTTGCTTGAGCTCTCCCCCCAACCCCTCCAAATACCTATAAAAAATGGCTCTAAACAAATTCTAGAGCAGCAGAACCCACAAAAAGACAGAGTGAAACAAATTCCCAGCCCAAGACAACCTGGATGGTTGACTGGAAAGGTCTGTTGCGCTGGACTGAGAGAGGAGTGCAGTTCAGTGTGGACATGCAGGCAAAGACCAGGCTTCAGGGGACTGAATCATGGTCAGCTGTGGCAGTTTCCAGACTTCTCAACCCACAAATGCCAAAGACAGCTTAGAAGGTCAGTAGGAAAGGTCCATGACCGTGGTGAGAGGGAAGCTTGTTCCCAGCCCCAGTGCTGACGTAGCCCTGGGGCGGCAGCTGCTTCCTGGAGTTCTTGGCCCATAGACGGTGTGGGGGTCAAGCAGCTGATCAGAGGGGGATTACAGGGATCTCTTTGCTGGAGCTGAGGCAGGATTCTCTTGCTTTACTCGTGCCTGGATCTGGGTCACAGTTCTAGGTGGCGGTCCTGGGGTGAGAAGGAGCGCTGGCATGGTGGAGCTTGTAGCAGAAGTGCACAGAGAATCCTCCTCACAGTTCCAAGGCAGAAAAGAGTGCTTGTGGTCACTCATAGACCAGTGCACAGGCCAGGAAAAGAGTAAACACCTTGCCCTTGATCATAGCACCTTGGAAGAATGGAAAATTTACAGGTCCCTAGATGTATCTCTGAAAACAGCTACACAAAACCCCTGAAGCTTGGGACAGTATATTCTCTACACTGGAAGCAGACCCCTACCTTAACAAAGAGTTTAAAACTCAAATAATTGGCTGGGAACATGAGCAAACAGTACAAAAATAGTCAGACCATAGAATCTTTCTTTGGTGACAAAAAAGATCAAAACACACAACCAGAAGAAGACAACAAAGTCAAAGCTCCTACATCCAGAATAGCTGGGTCAGTTCACCACTCCACCAACAATGCATCAGTGTCCCAATTTTCCCACATCTTCTCTACCACAGAAGCATCATTTTTGATGAGATTTGCCCTGAATTAGGAGCTTCCCCTAAGGGCATGTGTGCTTGACAAAATTCCAGCTCCTCCCAGGTGTGCATGTTTGTCCCTTGGGGCCCATGGTCCAATCGTTCTGATTCCATACTCTGTCCCCTGAGCAAGACCATGCCATCATTATTTTTGGATTCCATGCCAAGGCCACAGATTGAAGGGGAATGACCCTCAACAGCTTTGTGGTGGATACCACAGTCATTATGTCTCTCTCTACGCTCTTTACTCAACAAAGAGGGCTCCTTGGCCCCCACACAACCCCCTCTTCTTTCCCTCACAAGCCATGAGACAGTCAAAACTCAAATGGGCCCTCGGTCTACAAGTCCCCTTTATGTTTCTGAATCCATAGGGAAGGGAATGAAGAACAACAGAATTGGTGAGTCAGAGATCTGTGTCTTTTAAAGAAGGCCCTCCTAACTCATTAACAAAGACCTAAGACGGTGTGCTCTAACAAAGGTCAGACCATTAGTTCTTCAAGCAGGAGTGCGGGCCTGAGCCTAGGTCCATCTGCCCAGAGTGAGCAGGACCATCTCCCAGAGAAGGGAGTGTGTGTGAGGAACACAGAGTAACACAACTCATTCAGCAGCCTGGCCCACTCCCCTAGGCCTTCTCTAGGAGTGCCCACCTGTCTCAAAGACTGTCCTGAGAATAAAACGTGCAGGCTGCCATGCAACAAAACCAGGGGCCTCCACAATACACTTAACATCTTTGTGCTAAAAACGCTGGGGACTCAATCAAGTTTTCTTTATGAGAAATGTGTCTTACGTGCATTTGCTTTCTGAGAATTGAGGGCATGGGTACGAAGGGTACAGAGGCTGAAAGAGCTTGGGAACTCCTCCTTTGAAGACCTCAGCTTTCCATGAGCGAGGGATCTCTCCCTGGCTGATCTGCGATCCAGCCACCCCTCTCATCCCTGGCTTTCTGTAAGTCTTGCAGAAGATGGGCCATCTCTGGTCCTCAATATCTGTCAATGGAATGAGGTCCACCTGCTCCCTCTCCCCATCTGACTTCACCAGCTTTCCAGGCCCACACAGTCTTGACGGTCAAGGTTAATAGCATAGCAGGGCCCAATCCCCAATACCACATCATTTCTCTGCCTCTTGGGTCAAGCAAAATGGGAATACTTGCACCTGTTCCATGATTGACAGCCATGTGGGCCATCAGGAGACCACAGATGGCTGTCCGGCAACCTTGAGCCCTGCAGCTCCCCACTGGGACCCAGCCTGCTCGCCTCCAGCTCAATTCACACATCCATGGCCTTGCTCATCATGGGGTGCTCCAAGCTCATTCTCCTGGGAACGACCGTGGATAACTGGCGCAAAGTCCCCTACAAACAGGACCATCTGGAGAAAAGCTGTCCCAGAGAACTCCCCTCCTGGGCCACCCTCTGATGATGCGCCCTCAGGTCACACGGGCTCTCCCAACCCAATCCAAGCTCAGGCATTTGTGCACGGTCCTTTGGCCTTCTGCACCTCGCATCAAGTACACGAGACCACAATGCCACATAGCTGGCCGCTGTCTGGAGGACTCGCTGGAAGTCGCTAACCCCAACTGAGGCCCAGCCGGGGGCATGTGCTCACCCTAGGTGCTGCTGTAAGGGAGGTGCCAGCAAGGCCACCAAAGGCTTCTCTGCGACTGGCAGACAATTTAACCGCTGACTCTGCAAAAACCACATAGGTGAATCACACACAGTCAAGGCAGAAGATGTGCCTGGGTGGAACGGAGGAATCCCCTGTGCTTCCAGCCCACTTACTGAATCCACCATATTGCATGTCAGGGAAACCCAGGGACCACAGACCTGGAGAGAGAGAGGGCAAAGGCCTCCAACTTTACAAAGGGGGAAACTGAGGCCAGGGAGGTGAGCAACCTGCTCCAACCCAGAGCTTTAAGTAGCCTCCAAATCTGTGCTCCTACTGCCCCACATGCAGGGGCCCAGCATGAGCCATGGCCAACAGTGACTGCCCCGGAAGCCTCCTGGAGCCATTGCCCGTGAGCACACACGCCTCGGAAGGGCTCTGCACCATTGCCGCGGTCCTCTGTGAAGCCTGACCAACGGGCCCAGGGGCAGCAACCTGCTGCCAGAGAGAAGACACCTTGGGGAGTGGGACCAGATCCCTCCGGATGACGACGCAGGCCCAGGGGGTCGGTGACCAGCAGAGGGAGGCAAAGCGCTTGTGCTGCCAGCTGGCCTCCCTTCCATTGCCATGCATGCCGCTGCCTCACCCTGTGACAGCCGGAGGAGGACGGGAGGCCCGCGTAAACTCGGCTGGAGCCCATGCTCCAGGCAGCCAGAAGGTGGTCTCCTTGGCCCAGAGAGAGGCAAAACAAGCCTCCAGTGGCCGTCAGGAGACCTACGGCTTGAGTTCAAGCGGCAGAGAAACTGGACGTGGGAAACCCAATGCTTGGTGCAGCTCTCCCCTCCCCCGCCGTTCACACTGACCACGAGCGCGGGTTACCCCCACCAAAGGTCACACTGACCACGAGTGAGAGTTACTCCCCCAAAGGTCACACTGACCACGAGTGAGAGTTACTCCCCCAAAGGTCACACTGACCATGAGTGAGAGTTACTCCCCCAAAGGTCACACTGACGAATGAGTGCAGGCTATCCCGTCCCAGATAGTCGCACTGACCACAAGACACCTCCCAGCCTGATCGCAAACTTGCCTCAAAGGCCATCCTTGCACACTTAACCTAACCCAGGAGACGCAGAAGCCAAGCACGTACCTGCTCTTGTGCCATAGCTCTGTCATCAGCTTGAGATAGCTTTTACAGATGGCTGGCTTCTTCTCTGTTCGGGCCAGTCCTCCGCAATCAAGAAAGAACTGGGTCAGAGGCGGGCTAATTTAAAAGAAAACAGAATGGAGAGAATGGAACAAGAACCTGATCTTGGCCTCTGCACCTGGCTGACCAAGAGGCCCCGCAGGCTCCTCACTCTCCAACACCACCTCCACATCCAGCCGGTTGGCTGCCAGCTCCTGGACAGCATGGGCTGCCTTCCGCCTCTTTCTGGGTCTCCAGCACTTAGCACGGTGCTTGGCACACAGTAGGTGCTCCTGTCTGAGTACAAGCTGATGCCAAAGGTGCTGCTGCCGCCCCCTAAACCAGGGGCCTCCAGACTTTTAAAATCAAGCCCCCCATGACGCTGCAGGCAATGTGCAGATACTCACAGATTTATATACAGGTGCTAGCAATCCACAAGCACTTATGAAGCACCTACTGAGTGCTAGGCCCTAAGGACACAAAAACCCAAGCAATGAGACTGACTCTAATGATTATCTCATGCTGTAAAACTGACAGACTTAAAAACAGAAGTAAAAAAGGAACTAAGATAAAGCTGAAATCCCACTAGACTGTGCAGCCAACAGCAGCCAGAGTTTACTGGGCAGACCTTGGCATCTGTGTAGACATGAGATGGGGGAGACTGAACAGAGCCCATCACCATGGGGGCCTGAACCTGGGCCACGGGAGCAGAGAAAAGGGGTCACATGTGAGGGATGCTGTGGGGGCAGTGAACGGCAAGAGCACGGGCTGGCTTCACACCTGGGTGCCTGAAGGAACGGTGGGTCTGGGGGAGAAGATAATGAGACTGATGATGCAGGCTCCTCTGTGCCTCCCCATACTACACAAAGGACTCAGTCTCACCGAAAAGAACAGAGGGTGCAGGGGCTGGGCTCTTGCCTGCCACAGGGTAAGAGAGGGTGTAAGTGTGTGTGGGTGAGTGCAAGTATGTGTGTGTGACAGAGTGTGAGTGTGTGAATGCAAGTGAATACATATGAAAGTGTGTATGAATATGTGTGTGAGTGAATGTGTGAGTGTGAGAATGTATGTGTCTGTGAGTATGTGTGCAAACGTGTATATGGAAGGGGGGCTGCTGGCTGCCTCGGGCATTCACTGGCCCTGGTGGAGAGGGGAGAGCAGCAGAGTCTGCAGAGCCCCAGGAAGACTGTGGTGGGAGGGAGCAGCATGGAGGAAGGTGGGTGTGTCTGAGGAAGGGGGCACAGCCTGTAATTGGCTGAGCAGGGCCTGGAAGGGGAGAGCTGGGCTCCCGTTCTGGGGACAATGCTTCCCAACTGGTTCACATCACACTGAAGCCAATGTGGGGTGATGTGCCGGCCAATCCAAGGAGAGGGAGCTTAGCCTCGAACCTTAGGGAGTGTGACCTGGCCCAAGAGGGGATCCCCCCATCTCTGCAGAAGGCAGAGAGTGAGCTGAGGGTCTGAGGGAGGTGGCTCCCTAGGAGACGGCACCAAGGAGTGAGGCCCACTCTGCCTGGCCGACTGCTGACCAGGCGTGAGGACGCCAGGACCATCTCTCTCGCAGACCCTGGACAGGGAGCAACCATTGCTGCCACCCCCATGGCCCTGTTCACAAAGTGTCCACCCTGAGTTCTTAATCTGGGGTGCTTCCTTCATAATCCTGTGCATTTAAAGTCAGCATTCAGAGAGGGGGTCCAGGACACTCCAAAAGTGAAAACCCCCCCACCCCAGCTCCTTGAGGGCAGGGACAGTCACAGAGCAGATGCTCGATCGCATGGGACCCCCGTGGCAGAAAGGCGAAGGGGGGGAGGGTGGGTTAGGGTTGTCCCCTGGGCATTCTCTAAGGCATGAGAAGGGGAAGCCCAGGCCTACAAAGACTCAGAAATACAGACAGAGGAAGACACAGAGTCTCTCTTATTCTGCTGGGCAGATGAGAACAGAGGGAGAATTCAGCAAGTCTGTGGAGGACATGACACGTTCATATCTCCACTCACATTCCCAGTGCATGGCCCCTCGTCCCGATGAGGGCTCTCCTCCCACTTCAACCCTGCTTCAAGCCCCAGCCCTGTGACGCTTCCTTTCCTCTCACTATTGCAGATGGGGTGTGGGGAGGGAAGAAGGGAGTCCCAGACGCACACACTCCACTCACCAATTAGAAAGAGCCTGCAAAGCAGCGTTCATATAGCAAGTATTGCCGATGTTTTTCAGACCCGTGAGACCTGTCAAGAAAAAAGAAACATCTCAGATTCAAACAGCAACAAGGCAGTCTCCTATGCTGCCCTCTGAAAGCACGGGGCCCCACACCACAGAGCAGGCAGAATGAGGAGTAGCACCCCAAGAGGGCTCTGGAAAACGGGGACCCACAGGCTGAGGAGAGAAGGAAGGGGGTGGTCAGGGACCCCAGGTGGGAACTGAGATGAACCGTCAGACGGCACCTGAATGCTGAGCTGGACAGAGGTCACCAAGCCCGGTGTGACAACGGTGAGGGCTCAGAGGAACTCATCGGTGGCTACACCCCAAAGATGCGGAGAAATTCTCTGGAGAAATGGGTGGCAAGGAGTGGGAGACCTTCATGGGGAGCTGGTCACTCCCTGGAGGGAAGAGCTGACAAGCCAACGCTCTTTGGGGAAGTGGCCTAGGAGTGAGGGGGCACGTGAGAAAGCCCCCACAGGGCACAGGGGCTGGGAGAACACAGAGGGAGAGAGCTGCAGCTCTGTGTCTTCTGGGCCTGTTTTCCTGCCAAGGAAAGTGACCCTTGGACTGGAAAGGGGAGACTAAAAATGAAAGTCCTGAGATACCATCAAGTCTAAGCCCCTTCTTTTACATACAGAGGAGAAAACGGAGGCAGGGTCTACAGCAGGATTTGAACTCGGGCCTTCCTGACACCAGGCCCAGCGCTCCATCTACAGCCCCACTGACTGCCAAGCACAGGAGGCCTGGCAGTCCTCAGAAGTCCAGGATATTTGACAAAGGTGAACAGGAGAAAAGTAAAAGAATTATTGGTTGTGAGGAGCTGAAGCTAAACCTCAGGGCCTCTGCCCTGGCCAATGCCCAGCACGCTCCAGACACGCTCTGGATGTGGCTGACCTAGATCGCCCGGCGCTCTCTGGGCTCCCTGACTCCTGGCCATTGTCTTCCTCTGGGTGCTCCTGTGAATGTCCGTTGCGTGCACCCAGCTTCCTCCACCTCATCTCCAACAAAGCTCTTCAGCCGCATTTGGGGAAAACAGTTCAATTTACAGGCGAACTGAAGCCCTGAGCGATGTCATAAGGAAGCCGAGGAAAACACAATCAAAAACACTGCAGAGGACGGGAAATGGAAGGATACCAGAAGTGCTGCCCAGATGTGGCCGGCACAGCTCCATGCTGCCCCGCTACCCAAGGCTGGGGAAATCTCCAATTTCAGCAACAACAAACTCAGAGGCCCAAAAAATGGCTGTGTGACCAGGCGCATTCCTCATCAGAGCAGCCCCATCGGGGTCAAGCCCTCAGCAACTGGCCATCTCAAGCCCAGCCAAGCTGGTCAGCGTGTAAATGGGAGAGAATCCACCACACATTAGCCATGGAGCCCGGGCGGCCACCATCTGTGAGAAGCCCAGGCAGCTGCGTCCACTGAGGGACCCGGGTGGCTGTGTCCACAACGACCCTGGGTGGCTGCGTCCACGATGAACCTAGGCAGCCACCCACAAGGAACCTGGGTGGCCACATCTGCAAGGAGCTTGGGCAGCTACCATCTGTGAGGAGCCCAGGTGGCTGAGTCCACACATTCACAAGAACTCTGGACAGCCATGTCTGCAAGGAGCTCAGGAGGCCATGTCCATGAGGAGCTCAGGAGGCTGCATCCACAAGGACCTTGGGCAGCCACCATCTGTGAGGAGCCCAGGTGGCTGCATCTGCTGAGGGACCTGGGCAGCCATGGGCAAAGGCCCGAGGCCACAAAGCCCTTCTCTCATGTCTCCTGGACAACAGAATGGCCGACAGCAGCCTGACAGAGCTCTTGCTGGGCCCAAGACAGATGCCCAGCCCTGCCCCAGTGGCTACACTGCTACATTGTGGTGGGGGAGCCCTAAGTCACCTGGGGACACAGGGAGCAGATACAAAGTAACCAACCACAGCCCCTGAAAGGTCCTAGTTTCTGCCTCCACAGGCTCCCTCCCACACCCGTTTCTCTTCTCCCTTGCAACGTACACGCTTAGTGAAGAGGCTGTGTCTCCTCCTGCGCCCCATATCCTACACCTCCATCAGGACGTGGGAATGACTGGCCGTTTCCTTCATGGAGTTCTTCCACCTTTGGGAGTCCTTTGTCTCAACAGAGTCGCCGATACCGCATCAAGCGTCCTCACTCCATCCGCGGCAGGCCATGCCACCCAGGACGCTCTCAAGTCCCCATGGTTATTTCTGGGGGGCACAACAGTCTTCCATCCCATTCAGGATCTGAACACCCTCTCCTTCTTCTCTCTTCCCTTTAATCTCCACCATCAGCATCAGGAAGACTGTCTGCCCATGGTGCCCCTCCTCCCTTCTCCATTACACTCCACTAATCCCAATCTGATGTCTTTCTTCACTCCTCCTTGGTCTGTTCTGGATCAGAGGGAACTTCACCAGATGCCCACTCACCCCATCTCTTCTTCCATGTTTGTGAACTCTGCTGTCACTGTCTCCTTTTACCTTCTCTTCTCCCTCTTCAGACCCTCAGAACAGAACCAGCCCAGCCCTAGGGCCTCAGTTTTTCTTATACCCTCAGAAGACATTAAGGTTCTCCTCTGTTAGAAAGCTAGCGCTCCATCCCTCTATAACCCCTTCTAAAATTGCTCAAACACATTTCCCTCTTCAGGTTTCTTTTGTCTCGTGTCTGCATCTCAAAATCCCTACTTAGCTCCAGTGTCTTCATCAGAAATGTTTGGAAGTCCTCTATTTCATTAAAAATCCACTTCTGCCTGTTGGCAGATGAATCATGCTTCATGTCAAGGATTCCAGCACCCCAACACCTGTATTCTAGGCCACGCTGGTCCCTGATGCCTCCCCCCCCCGCCCAGGGGCTCTCTTTGCAGGACGTCAGCTCTGCCAGCCTCCTGCAGCAAGCCCAGCTCATTGCCCATGGCTCTTGGTACAGTCCTGATCGAGCAGGGACTTGTCTATGCAGACAGCTACAGAAGCCAGCAAACCCCAGGGCGGGAACCTAAGCTGTGGGCCAGTGGGATCGGTTAAAGGAAACGGGGCCACACACTAATGGCATCTAGACACTAATGTATTTTTATTTATTTGTTAACTATTTCCCAGATGACCTTTTCCTCTGGCTCCGTGCTTGACTCCTCTGCCGAGGGCCGTGCAGCATTCGCGTGACGGCCCAGTTTTTTGCCAGCTGGGCCCCTCCCACCCAGCCACTCCACCACAGAGCGGTGAACAGCTCTTTTCCCTTTCAAAAACGGCCAGAACTCCCTCAGAGACAGGAGAGGAGCTGTGCCAGCGCGTTCTGAATTACCTCTTGCCTTTAGCTCATCCTCTTCCTCCACGTCTCTGTCCAGATCATCCAAGACTGTGGCCAGAGGAGTCTTGAGGGTGGGGTGAGGCACCTTGAAGTCCTTGCTCCGAGAAAACCAAGAAGAAACACACATTAGATCTTACCTGACGTCAGCGGCCATGACAGACCGCACACCCCAAGCCCAGCAGGGGTCCCCCGATATTCCGGAAGGGCCTCATCCGATGAGACGACAGCGCAAAGGAAGCTCGACCCAATGGGGATGAGGTCAAAGGGGATGGGCTGCGTGACTGCTGCCCAAGGTCACAGAGGGTCGTAGCCAGGCAACTCCCAGAGACCACCTGCTAAGTCCCAGAGTAATTGGGGTAGGACAGAGGGGTCACACTAACAAATCCACGGACTCCTGAGATGCAAACCTGATCGTAGTAGGAAGATGCCCTGGTGAGACAGGCAAAACCCCTGGGGACTGCCTTGGAACAAAGGGAGGGGGAGGGGAAGGGGAAGAGGTAGTGGGCTCCAGGACACCTGGGAAGGACTCCAACAACTAGAGAACTTGACCCTCAATGCTGTGAGACCCCACGAACGTCACCAGGCCTTGCTCTCTCCCACGGTAATACATATGGGGCACCTTCATACTCAGAGGAGACCCCAAAACCACGAGAACCCTACTTGGCAGTCCTCCTGTTCAGGCACGCCAACAAGCATCTGTGGAGCACTGACTATCCAGCAGGCCCTGCTCTCCAGGAGGGGGCTCATGGCCCAAAAAGCAGGATTTCAATGGTTGGTGACGCTTCAGATGAGTACTGGGCCAGGGCTAGAGCAAAGGGAGGCATGGGTTCCAATCCAGCCTCCATGAATTCTTACTAACTGCAGTGCCCTAGCCGATCACTCTGGGCCTCAGTTTCCTCCTCTGTAAAATGGAGACACTATCTGAAGTACTCATCTCACAGAGGGGGTGTGAGGACTAAGGGAGAATGCATACCAAGTGTGACCTTGAGGTCATTCCAAAAAGCTTCCTAGTGCATGAAACGTGAGCCCTGTCCGTGGTTCTCCAGACAGACAGTATGTGCTGACTCCTGGGCCAGACACGGAGGTGAAGACTGTGGGGACACCCAAGTGCTCTTTCATAACCGAGTGACCCAGACGTCTGAGAGCGCTCATCTGGGGGCCACGTCGCCAAGGACTCTCAGAAACCGACCTTCCCCTCATCATCTGATAGACTACATCTAGGAACCGAGCATGAGGCCCGTCAGCAGCAGAGCTGGGAGGAAAAACCAGGTCCCATGACTCCACATCCAGGGCAAAGGGAAGGAGTGAAAAAGCTCTTACTGTGTGCGAGCACTCTGCATAGCACCAGGGCTCTGCACAACACCAACCATGCAGTCTGACTGAGTTAATGAAACCCTCCCAAAACGCCTCCTGCCTTTCTGGCTACAACAGAACTCTGAGACACAAGGCTGGTTGGTGGGCGGCCACATTTCCCCATCCCGCAGCCGTTGTGGGCAGAATCTCTGTGCCCTCTCTAGCCCATGAGACGGCTGGGGCTCAGCTACCAGAGGAAACATAGGAAGGACTCGAATTAAAAAGCCTTTTTCTCCTAGATGTGGGGGTCTAATGATAACATGTTCTTAGAAGCACCTGCCAGTTATTTCTGTGGGGGAAAAACAAAGAACCTTTGAGCTCATGCAGCCTCGGGAGGTGGGCACCACAATGAGGCCAGGATGAAGTGCCCTATGCCAAGGGAGAGTCTGCCTGCCCACCCTTAGGGTATGGAGCCCCCCCAGTTTCTCAGTCCTCATTCTCCTTGACCCTCTGACACTGTCCAAGAGGTGCTACCAGGCCCACAGCAGGGAAGACCCAAGTCCAAATCCGGCCTCCACCACTTCCCAGCCCCCTCAGGATCCCGGCTGGCCCAGTGACCGATGCATAGCAGGCCTTCTACAAAGGCTTGTTCCTTGCCTTCCCTTCCCCCATCAGAGGGTGAGCTCCTGGTCCCATGAAGTTAAACGAAGACAAGCTGGCACACACACCCCCACCACCACACGGTGGCGCTGTCCGCACACATGACCCAGGCATTCGCAGGGGGCCTCTGCCCCACTCCGGGCACAGCCCCTCCGTGGCCACAGAGCAGGCAGCATCCTGCCTTCACCTCCCATGTTTCTCTAAGCGACCACACCTACAAGGACTATTTCTTGGGCCCACCTGGACGCTGCTTTCTGGGGCCGCAGGCTGTGGCCTCGTCGTCTGCGGCAGGGACACGGGCGCCCCAAACTTCCTCTCCAGGAAGACTTCTTTGGTGCAGGCATAACACCAAACCCGCAGGGTGGTGAGGTTCACGGTGAGGTAGTGCTTCGTCTTCTGCAGAATTCAGGGCAGAAACGCGATTAGGGACGGCAAAGCATCGGCGCCCCGCCTCTGGGGTCCCATCACGTACTAGAAACTCGTCAGCCCCTTCCAGGCCTCACATCACGGACCGAACCTCCTAACCAGTCACTGGGGGTAACTTGGGGGGCATCGGGGATCATCCAGGGGAGACAAAAGGCCGTCCCCCCAGCTACCTTGGCTAGGACCTCCCTGGGGACCACGAGGTATGGAGGGACCTCGCAGGCACTCCCAGAAATTTAAGCAGGTGGAGGGATACCAAGGCAGAGAGGGGGAGGCCAAGGATCACAGCGTGGTACCAGAAAGGCTAAGCCAACCAGGAGTAGGTGGACATTGGCCCTTTCCTCTCCAGGTGGCTCAGTGGATAGAAGGCCAGCCTGGAGTCAGCAAGACTCGAGTTCAAACCTAGCCTCAGACTGACTAGCTAGGCGCCCCTGTCTGCCTCAGTTTCCCCAACTGTAAAATGGGGATAACAACAGCCCTCACCTTGCAGTGTTGTCATGAGGATGGAAGGAGGCATTTGCAAAACAAGTTTCATGTAGGGCCTGGCACAGAACAGGCCTCCCCCTACCTTCCCCTTTCCCAACCCTGCTCACTCACACATTCCAGGGCTGCCAAATGCCTCTAAGAGAATTATTAGCAAGAGCACACATTATTAGCAAGAGTGACCCTTCACATGTTCACCTCTCACTAGATCCTCCCAACAACCCGCAGACAGCAGTGTGATCGTCATTCCCATGTTACCGAGGGAATGATGCGAACTGACCTCAGGTCATTGTGATGCCAAGCTTAGCAATCTGAGATCCCCACCAAGGATCAGAGAGAAATTCCTCTGCCGAGCCCTGAAAACTCGTCACGTGCACATGCACACGTGCTAGCCTATTCACATCTCTCTCCGTGCAGCTAGGAATGCTCTCTCCTGACGTCCCACCCCAAGCATTCCTGACTTTTGTCAGAGAGCTCCCATGGCACCTTCTGCACTGGCCACCCAGGAGCGAGGGCCTTCCTGGCTGGTGGAGGCAAACTCAAGGACAGCAGGGCCTGCTTGCTCTTTGCTTGTACCCCGGCACTTTGCAAGGGGCCTGGCACACATGAAGCATCCGGTACCTTCTGACCCAGTAGGAACAGAAGCAGAGAAGCCTTGACTCATCAAGGTTGCAGACTGGCCATATGTGGGGTGTAGTGACCAGAGGGGAGGGGGGCTTCCGGCTTGCTTGGGCTCGGGTGTCCTGAGCTGCTGGAGGTTCAGACGGTCCTGCCTCTGCACTAAGCCCAGCCCCAAGGTGGTGAGGCCTAGCGGTGAGAGGCCACCAAGCAGCCCAAGGAGGGCCTGGGCTGGAAACAGAGCAGGAGAGAGCAAGGGAGGGGACAGAGGGAGGAATCAGGGACCTCACCGTAGCCTGCTGCCTACATGTGAAGGGAGTGAGGATGAACCACAGGGTCTAGGAATCGGGCAGGAGTGGTGAAAGCTTGGAGGAACAATGCCCTAAGACTAGGAACGGACCTCTGGTAGGGCCCCCTGGGAGAAACACCGCACCCAGACTCTGGAGGCCTCCCTGGTTCTGTCCCTTCCCAGACACGAGCTGATGCCCACGGCTGGAGGCCAGGGCTACTGAGAGGTCCTTCCTTGGTTGCCCCTCAGGGCTCCTGACAATGTAAGTTCTAGTTAAGTCATAAAAGCTCCCCTTAAAATGAACACAAAAAGGCCAAAGTTCCAACGTAAAGATGGAACATTACACAGATTAGACAAAGTCTATGAAAAAATTAAGCTTCTCTTGGGAAACTTAGGAAAATCTCATTTACAGCAACAGCTTCTGCTGCCAACTCAAAGCCATGAAATCCAAATCTGTGAGCTCCCCCCACCAGCCCCCAACAATGCCCTTCTTCTTTGGGGCCTCACAGGAATTCCCTGATCACTTAAGCTCTTTGGGGGCAACAAAGCACTGACCAAAGGTCTTCTGTAATTCCTGGGGACTAATCCGTGACCCCAAATCCCTGCCACGTGAACAATCGCTGAAAAAGCAGGCAGTCTATAAACCGCTAACCCTCTGTCCTGGCCTTGGGGCAAATCGGAGGCACTGGGCACAGCACCTGCCCCAAGAGAAATCTCTCAGGGAAGAGTCGCCCTGAGCCGTCTGAGGCGAGTACCAGTGCGTGGTCATTCAGGCCAAGGCATGGGGCCGAGGTCTTCTGACAAGGAGGCACCTCTGCCCCCTCAGGCCAGGATGAGGCATGGAGGAGGGAGGGGGTCACAGAAGCATAAAGAACTGAGCACACGGACCCCAAGAAAGAGGCCGGAGTAGAAATGTGGTCACACCTAGGTGTCTAGTGTGAAGATGACATGAGTGACCCTGCCCGCTAGAGCAGAATGGGGGAGGACTGGGGAGAGCATGGGCCTCGGCATCAAAAAAACCAGCCTGCACCCCCAAGCCTTCGCAGCTATCTGACTTGCTCTGGATCCCAGAGACACCAGTCTGCTTCTACTCCACCAGGGAGCTCTAGGATGCAGCTGGTTTCCCATCAATAGGCATCTCTCTGCCAAGATGTGGCAGACAGATGGGATGCCCGTACATGAAGGAGCCTCACACAAGTCAGCTTGCCCTCAGAACCTTCTTAAATCCTTACCTCATGATTCATCTGTTTCCCACACTAATGGGATGATAACCCTGCAAACATCCATCGCTCAACTGAAAATCCAAACATTCTCGAACTCACAGCTGATGATGACAGTGGCTTTCACACCCATGCTCACGCTTTAATAAGAAATGTTCATCTGTAAAGGGGGTTGCACGTACCTGAGAGTGAATAGTGCTATGGTCTACGTAGGATTCGCCACAGCCAACGTACGCACATCGGTTCTGTAGAGAAACAGAAAGCACACAAGTCACTTTATAGCCAAACTCTCCCCACATCGGATCCCCCCAGCTCTTCACTGAAAGGTGGTCTTCAGATAAAGAAAAATGTCAGAGATTCTAGCTAAAAAGTATCCAGTCTCCAAATCAGCAAAGCACGCTGATGAGTGTTTCACTATTAAGACAAATGGATAAAAGCCACAGAGCACCCTCCCACACATTCATTCCAAACTCTTTCTAGACACACATACATACATACACACATACATACAGATATATAAGGTTAGAGTCAGAGGTATATACATATACATGTGTGTGTGTGTAGATATCTATCTATCTATCTATCTACACACACACACACATACATACACACATACATACAGATATATAAGGTTAGAGTCAGAGGTATATACATATACATGTGTTTACATATATGTGTGTATATATACACACACATACACACAGATATATAAGGTTAGAGTCAGAGGAATATACATATACGTGTGTGTGTATATATATATGTATATATATATACACACACACATACATACAGATATATAAGGTTAGAGTCAGAGGTATATACATATATATGTGTTTACATATATGTGTGTATATACACACACATACATACACACATACATACAGATATATAAGGTTAGAGTCAGAGGTACATACATATACATGTACATATATATGGACACACATACATACACACAGACATACAGATATATAAGGTTAGAGTCAGAGGTATATACATATACATGTACGTACACACACACACACACGCATATACGTAGGGGCATACATTTTATATTTATCTATCTGTGTACATGTTCTTCCCTTCTTCCCCCCCTCCCCCCACAAGATGTAAACTCCTTGACTGCAGGAACCGTTTCGTTTTGCCTGGTCGGGGGGAGCAGGCTGCGACACAGTCAATGAGGAGCATCAAAGGGAAACAGGAAAGAAAGAATACATGCACAATATATTTAAAGCAAACATTTAAATTACTACACATACATTTGCCTTTACAAGTTAATTTTTGAGCTAGAATCATCTTTATAAAATTCTGTCCAAAATATCTTACACGAACATATAAACACTTGAACAGATGAGTAATTACAAACTTAGTTAGGCTTCTCAAGAAAACACTCAGACGGGGTCGTCCACATACCTCTAGACAGGCCCAGAGATTCGGTCCTCTGACTTTACAGTCCTGACAAGTGCCCTGTGAACAGAGACAGCCTTTTAGGAAACATTTCACAGCCACCTTTGTTCCTAACAAAATTTCCTAAGAGTAAACAGATCCAGTTAAGCCAAACAGGACCAGAAGATGCAGGCAGTGCCAGGAGATCTGAGCGTGAGCCCCAGCTGCCAGGCACACAGCCCTGAGCAGGGGATTCGTCCTCCTTTGGGCCTGTCAAGGTATTAGGAGATGCCCTGTTTGCCAGGGCTAGGCCCAGCAATCAGGCCATGCCCAGAGCTTGGCAGAACAGCCATCCTCTATGCTCCCCCTCTGGCTAAATCACAGAACTGCTGTATTGCTCTGACCGGCACCAGGAGTTCTCTGAGCTTAGACACGTTCTGGTCATGAAGCTCTGCCATGAATCGAACTTGTGTCATTGTGGCTCCGGCTCCCTGTGCAGCCCTTGGTATAAGCATCAAGATGTTCCTGCACTGCCTCAGGCCAGGCCCTGGCCACCCACGGGTTAGAGGCTACTGCAGTCTGGCTCACAGGCCCAGTTCTCTGGCTCACAAAATAAAAGCACTGACTAAGCCAGAAGAGGAAAAAAAGGGAGTTACGTTCAGAGTCAGAGGATCCAAGTGAAAATCCTGGCCTATTTCTTCCTCTTTCAACCCGACGGCTAGACTAAATCACCTCTGCTACAATCTTTGGATTAAATAATTTCTAAAATCCTTTCAGACCAACAAATGTACAAGGCTTGGTCACAGACACACTGCATCTGTAGTGATTTCCATCGTTTCTCAGCCTCAGGCCTCCCACCCAGCCTGCTCTGTGCCCTCTTGTGGGGACACAGTGCCATGGAAGGGCCCATCTTCTAATCCCACTGTGGGCCAGCAGCCAGGGGAGATGCCCTTCCAACGTCAGGACAGGGATGGATTAAACTCAAATTCTCCAAGTCAAGCGACAGCGAAAATCAGGCCCTTCCTCTGCCTCGGTTTCCATTTTTAGCACCTACTGGAGTCACCAATAGCCCACGTTCATGATCGGTTTTCTTTAACCTACCTCTTCTGGTACCCTGAGGTGTAACAACGATCGCTAGCACTTAGTAAGCACCTACTGTGTGTCAGGCACGATTCTCATCTCATTCAATCCCCACAATCATGCTGGGAGGGAGGCACCATCATGATGCCCATTCTACAGCTGAGGAAGCTACGGCCCCTAGCTGCCGATGAGGTCACGTCATAAGTTAAAGTTTTCAAAATGCTTTCCTGGCAATAGTCCCTAGGGTAATGCAGCCTGGCACTGGCAGACTCCCTGGAGGCTGCTCCCACTCAACAGAGGAGGACACAGTGTCTCAAAGCGCTTCATGCAGTTCAGGCGTCAGAGCTCGGTCTGACAGGCCCCTCGGTCATGGGTTCCTTCCATGATGCCACCCTCAGGCCTGCTGGTTCCCACCTCATCCTGCCACTCACTAAACTCAGGGCCCCGTACTCCAAGAGCATCCGCAGCCCCTCCAAGGCGCCCCCAGAGCATCCCGTGGTGGATACGCTCAGGAGACATCTGAGCTGCCCTTCACCCCTCCCCCACTGTCTCCGTGACCCCCTGTGAGGTGGACAGAATGACCACCTACCTCGTCTCCAGCCACCCCCCTTAGGCCACCACACTGGCTTCCAGAGCCATCGGCATACACTGAGGTCTGAGGGTCCCTGCAGGGCCTCCTCCTAAGGAAGCTCACTCACAGAGGCAGCCTTGGGTCGAGATCTCTCGGGAGACCTCATCCCCCTCCCCTGTTACCTCTCAGTTCCTAAGAGGGCCAGAGTCTTGTGCACGAAGGGGATTCCAACGGGCCTCCCCTCTTCCCTCGCCTTTATAAAAATGTTAGTGAATCAGACCAATCTGCATACACATATGTGCATGCACAAACAGTCCATTTTTCTTTTACTTATCAATTATAATTCTATAATCCGAACTAATTCTCTTTCCACCACAGGCCAGTGCCAAGACCACCTCATGGCCTCTGGACCACCCCTCTGTCCCCGCATCATACAACGCCAGTGTCAGACATGGTTTAAACCACAGAGTGAGGACAAAGCCAGAGCACACATCCCCATACTGAAGTCAAATGACGTTCAGTAAAGTATACGTATCTGATACTAACAAAAATCCCCTTACTTTATTCCCATCCTGTTGAAATCAGAATTTTTCCCAATCTGGATTTTGAGACTTGGTTTTTCTTGGAACTTTTCTTACTAGCCATTTCCAAGACTCATGTGGCTACAGATTCACACACATACGGCTCTCTTGGAAGACTATTGAAGAAAAAATAATTAAATGACCATGTCCACGGTCCAGTTTCATCCACTCGGGCATTCACCACAAGCACGAAGCAAACTGATTTCAGACAAATGCTGAAGTCAAAAAAACATACAGCTTACAAGAGATTTCTGTATCAAGTTTTCTTTTGTTATTTCGCCCACGGACTCCAAATGTGGACAGTCACTGCTGGCGGCCGGCATTTCAACGCTGGGCATTTCTTTAAGTCCTGGAACTTTCAGGGCAAGATAATATCTATATGACAGAGTAAAAAAAAACACAAAACACAAATTAGGGAGCTGTTTCATGACCATGGCAGGTCATAGTACAAATAAAACGAACGGAAGACGGCAAACCAAAGGAAAACTCACTAAAATTCATGCTGCATTTAACTAAGAAGCTATAAACACATGTTTAGCCACAAAATCGGTGAACTGGCCAGTAAGACTCATCTGAACACTGGAAACCAAAATCCTTGTGAAGTGTCTGCATGCTCATTTATTTATCAGCGCCAGATGCAGGGCTGGCCCCATTCCTCCTCCTTGTCCTCTCCTCCAGTCTCTCTCCTTTTCAGAGATTTGCAAAAGACAAAAAAGGAAATAAAACTCAGTGAATTCTGAAGCTGATGCCTGTTATCATCTCTTGAAAGGATTTCATCTCAGAAAGGAACAAAAATGGACCTGTTCTCAAAAACACGGAAAGGCAGCTGGTGTGGAGCTCAGCAAGCGACACTTGGTTAGCAAGAAAGGCCTGAGTCCCAGGCCTTGCTCAGACACATCCCAGCAGGTGATCTTGGACAGTGGCCTCGCCTCTCAGGGTCCCAGGCAACTGGCCACAATTCAGAGCTAGAAAGAGGGAGCTGCCGAACTGCACTAGAGGAGATTTTGTTTTGGGGTTTTTAATCAGACTGTTCTATGAAAAACATCAATTAAAAATACTAAAAGGAAAGGTAAAAAAAAAGCCTCCTCTGCATATCTATCAATGTATAGATTTATTGTGGTTTTTAAAAATCTTATTAATAATAAAAATATCTAGCAATTACATAATGCTTTAATGTTTGCAAAGCACTGTACATCTATTTCAATTCCCTGTGAAGCAGGTGTTATTATTATTCCCATCTTACATATAAGAAACGAAGGCAGGCAATATTTAAGAGGCCCAATGGGAACTTGGGTCTTCCCAGCGATTCTGTGCCATTCAGCTGCCTGATTGTGAATCAGCTTCTGGCGCTCGGAACGCGTTTTTCTGCAGAAGCAACCAATCAATCGACATTTATCAAGCACCAACTTCTCTGTGCCAGGAACCAGGGAAACCGAGACACAGCTGGAGCCATCCCTTACTTTCAAGAAGCTTACACACGCTATTGTGCTATAAGAAATGATGAACAGACTGACCTCAGAAAAACCTGGGAAGCCTTGTATGGTCTGCTGCTGAGTGAAGTGAGCAGAACCAGGAGAACGTCGTGCACAGTAACAGCCATCGTTTAAACTTAAAGGATGATACCATAAGCAAATTAGAGCAGCATAAGATAGTTTACCTAGCATATCTATGGATAAAGGAAGAGTTTATGGCCAAACAAGAGATAGAGAGCATTACAGGATGTAAAATGAATAATTCTGATTACATTAGATTAAAAAGGTTTGGGATGCTAGGTGGCGCAGTGGATAGAGCACCAGCCCTGAAGTCAGGAGGACCTGAGTTCAAATTTGACCTCAGACCAAACACTTGACACTTACTAGCTATGCGACCCTGGGGAAGTTACTTAACCCCAATTGCCTAAAAAAAAAAAAGAATAGCTGGGGGGAAAAAAATTAAAAAGTGTTTCATGATCCAACCATTTTGGAGAACAATTTGGAACTATGCCCAAAGGGCTATAAAAATGTGGTTATTACCCTTTGACCCAGCAATAGCACTTTCTAGGGCTATATCCCAGAGAGATCATACAAATGGGAAAAGGATCCACATGTACAAAAATATTCATAGCAGCTCTTTTTGTGGTGGCAAAGAATTGGAAATTGAATGGCTGAACAAGTTGTGGTATATGAATGTAATGGAATACTATTGTACTATAAGAAATGATGAATAGGCAGACTTCAGAAAAACCTGGAAAGACCTGTATGGTCTGATGCTGAGTGAAATGAGCAGAGCCAGGAGAACATTGTACGCAATAACAGCCATGTTGTGCGATGACTATTACTGATAGACTTAACCCTTCTCAGCAATACAAGGATCTAAGACATCTCCAAAGGCCTCATGATGGAAAATGCTATCCATGTGCAGAGAAAGAACTATGGAGTTTGAATGCTGATCAAGGCTTACTATTTGCTTTTTTTTCCTTCTGTTCGTTTTTTGTTTCCTCTTTCTGGTGGTTCCTCCTATTGGTTCTAATTCTGACCTACAACATCACTACTGTGAAAATATGTTAGATAGGAATATATATGCATAGCTTATATCAGATTGCGAGCCATCTTAGGGAGGGAGGTGGGAATGGAGGGGGAGAAAAATTCAAAATTCAAAAGCTTATGGAAGTGATTGTTAATAATTCAAAATTAATTAATTAAAAATTAAAAAAATAAAAAGAGTTTCACACAAACAAAACCAATGCAACCAACATTAGAAGAAAAGCAGGAAACTGGGGGATATTTTTACAGCAAGTTTCTCTGATAAAGATCTCGTTTCTAAAATGCATAGAGAACTGATTCAAATGTATAAGTATATGAATCATTCCCCAATCAATAAATGATCAAAGAATATGAACACACAGTTTTCAGAAGAAATCAAAGCTATCTGTAGTCATATGAAAAAATACTCTAAATCACTATTGAGTAGAAAAATGCAAATTAAAACAACTCTGAAGTACCACCTCAAACCTATCAGACTGGCTAACATGACAAAACAGGAAAATGATAAATGTCCAAGGGGATGTGGAAAAATTGACACACTAATGCACTGTTGGTGGGAAGGACTATAAAACTGCGGCATTCCCTTTGACCCCACAATACTACTACTAGGTCTATATCCCAAAGAGATTTAAAAAAAAAGGAAAAGGACCTACACTTACAAAAATATTTATAGCAGCTCTTTTTGTGGTAGCCAAGAATTGGAAATTGAAGGGATGGATCTCCATCAGTTGGGGAATGGCTGAACAAGTTGTAGAGTATACTGAAATACTACTGTGCTGTAAGAAATTCTGAACATGAAGGTTTCAGAAAAACCTGGGAAGACTTATGAGAACTGATGCAAAGTGAAGTGAGCAGAACCAGGAGAATGTTGCACAGTAACAGCAACATTGTACAATCAACTGTGAATTCTCAGCAATACAATGATCCAACACATTTCCCAAGGACTCAATGAAAAATGCTATCTACTTCCAGAGAAAGAATAGACAGAGTCTGAATGATGACTGGAGCACTTTTTAAAAAGTTTTCTTGGTTTTTTTGGTGGGTTTTTTGATCTGTATTTTCTTTGACAACCTGGCTAATATGGAAAGGTTTGACTGCACATGTATAATGTATATCAAATTACTTGCTTGGGGGGGGAGATGAAGGGGAGAATTTGGAACTCAAATTAAAAAAAAAAGAATGCTAAAAATTAATTTACCTGTAATTAGAAAAAATATTAATAAAGCCACTGGAGTTTGAGTAGGGGAGGGGACATCATTAGACCTGCACTTTAGGAAAATGCCTTTGGTAGCTCCATGGACTATGAATGGGAGCAGGAAAGACTTCAGGAGGAAGGCCAATTAGAAATCTATCAGCCCTAGACAAGGCTAGAGGGATCATTCAGGGAGCAGAGATGAAGGGGTGTGTGTGACAGTTGTTGAGGAGAGAAGACAGATACAGATCAGGAATCAGATAAAAAGGGAAAGTGGGAAGATCAGTGAGTTTTAGAGGAGAAAATGACGAGTTAGGTCCTGGCTATGTTGAGCTGCAGATGCTTTTCGAACACTGTCCACTAGGCAGTTACTGACAGCCTGAGGGAAGGGCTGGGCATGGTGATCTGGGAAGAGGTGATGGCTCACAGGGAAGTCCAAACTGGTCAGGCTACTACACACGTCTCCCATGGTGGAGGCCAAAAATTGCATATGTGCAATAAAATCTAATAAACACTACTGTTCATTTAGTACATACTGAATTTTCCAAAGGTCTGCCCATCGACGTGACTCTAGATTCCCAGTGGAGGCCTGGCAATTTCTACCAACCTGGAAATACAGCCCCAGCACTGTATCTATTGTCCTTATGCCCATCAACAACTAGCCTGGCAGTCTACCTTAGCCTTTGTTGGTCAAAAGATGATGGCCTTGGGTGTTTTGGACACTGGGTGCTGCTACAGTCACTGACAAAGAGGAGGCAGAGAAGACCCCTCTGCAGCTCTCTGCCCACTTACCAGCTCAGCTCTCTGGTGACTGGACTGTAAACCCTAAGGTCCTGGCCCCCTCTCAATCCCCATTAATAGGCTCACCTCTGCCTAAACCCAGCCTAAGTGCCCAGGGAAGACAAGAAGAGGATGAGAAGGCAGGTAGAGACATGCATGTCAATTTGGGAGCTAACTTCAATTCACCTTCTAGCCAAAAAATCAATCAATCAATCAATCAAATCTTCCTTGTATCACTGTCTTACCTGACTCTGCCCTTAAGGGCCCCCCCCACCCCCGGGAACTGTCTCGGGATAAAAAGTTGAGAGGAAAAAAGCAGCTCCCCCAAATCCAGTGTGTCCTGGGACAGCTCTATTTGCCTTCCAGGGATCTGGAGAAAAATCACTCTGCTTCCTCTGGGAGTTTCCTGAAAAATATTTTAAGGAGCATCTTCCTTTTTTACAAGGTAAACACTACAAAATGGGATCCTGTCTGCCCCTAAATACTAGAAAGGCACAGGTAACTCTTAGGAACCTCCTATCAGGCTTCTCAAAGAAGCCAGGGCCCTCCAATCACTACCACAGGGGCCTTTCTTGAGAGAATGTTTTTGAGGTGTCAGTAACCGTTTATTAAGCACTTGCTGTGTGCCAGGCACTCTGCTATGTACCGAAGATGCAAAAAGAAGCAAAAGCAGCCCTGCTGTCCACAAGCTCTCAGTCTTAACAGGGAAGGGTCTGTCAGCCTGCCAGGGAGGCCCCAGGAGACAGTAAAGTCTAAGAGAGAATCAAACTTTTTTTTATGGGTTGTATCCGAGGTGGGTCAGTCCCATAGCAAAAGCTAGCTAACAGAAGACAGAGAGGAAACAGGAAAAGCCTAGAAAAAGGCCAAGAACCCTGGGTCGA